ATAGATAGATAGATAGATAGATAGATAGATAGATAGATAGATAGATAAAGACAGACAGACAAGTCTATATCATCAGGCATTTTCCCCCAAGCAATAATTATAACAATGTCTTTATACAGGGCTGGCTATTTGCCCCAGAATATTCCACTTGAAATTATTAGATACCTGTCAAAGGAAAAGGAATTTCTACCTTGGCATGCTGCTAGCCGAGCTCTTTATCCTCTAGATAAGTTGCTGGACCGCACTGAGAACTACAACATGTTCAATGTAAGTAAAGATAAATATACATCTCTTGTATATATAAAGAAATTTGTCTCTTTTTTTAATCAATCACTAAAGTGTTGTCCTCCCTACAAGAACACTATATACAGTATTAATCAAGGTGAACACTATATACAGTATCAATCCAAGTGTATTCAGGAGTAGGCAACCCCTACCCCCTAGATAATATGGATTGTCCTATTCTCCTTTGAAACTAACTGTGCTAGCTGTGGATAGTAGAAGTTGACATTCACAACTATTTATTTAAATAGAAATTAGATAGAAATGCATTATACTATATATAAAACTGCATGTGCTGTTACATTTTGGACCATTTGCAACTTCTGAATGTTCTTAAGGGCAATTTTATTTAGAATACATTGCAATAGTCCGAATAGGTAGTTAACTAAGGCATGATGATCATGAGCAGAGACTTTTGATTTTGCACTCCAACTTTAACTGGGTAAATGCCTCAATTTGTAGAGTCAATGTTAGGAACTCTCCAGATCCAAGGGACCTACAAATCCACAACCACTCAGTCTTTCTAAAATTAAGCCAGAAAACTATTCTACCCATTCCCCCTCATTCATACTCCTACAATCTAAATTTGGGGAAAGAATCTTGACAGCATTATCTGGACAGTTCAGGGCAGGATTGTAAACTAAATAACATCAATGTTCTCATGATACTTAATTTCATGCCAATAGAAGACCTAAGACAAGTGATTTCGTGTGAATGTTAAACAGAAGTGGATAGATCACTGAAGCACTCTCTCATGCAAGGTCTAGAGAAGGAGGTTTTCATCAACACTAACTAGAACCAGTCTCAAAAGAACAACTGCAAATCTTAGTCCCCTACTTGAATCCCCTAAGCCAGGGGTGTCCAACCTTGGCAACTTTAAGACTTGTGGACTTCAACTCCCAGAATT